AGCTTTCTGTCGCGCTTCCTACGTCACAGTCAATTGCGCTCATTGGTCAAAGCGTTGGCCAATACGCACAGACAGCAGTTTAAAAAACGACGGGTTGTTCTCATCAACAATCTTCCGATGTCTCATTCATCGGGACCAGATTAAATTACACATTTAATCTCACATTTAGTCTGGTTTTTCAGGCTAATTATGTAATACTTTTATTAATATTTTTATTTATCTTGCTTAATGTTTTAACCTAAATTCACTTCACCTTTATTAAACATCAAGTAAATGTGTGTGCTGGACCCCAAGACCCTATTTTATTTTACTGGAGCCACAGTTGATCCTTAAAGTTCACCAGGAGTTGCTTTCATTTTTAGGGGTGTGCAGAATTCAGTTCTTTTCAATTGGGGCTACAATCAAGTTTTCATAAAAATAAGTTTTTATTTGCTCATTTGCATCCCCACACAATGTCTAAAGGGAATCTCACAGAGTTTGCAGACCATGTTTTAAGGGTGTACAGAAATGATTTAGCTTAAACAGGACGCAGGATTCAGGCAGACAAATACAAATCCGAAGTTTGATAACCAAAGGTGCTGCAGAACAAATAGTTCAAGAAACTTCAATTCAAATTGCCATATGAAAACTAAGATAAATGTAAATACAACAATAGTGATCTACCCTTACGATGCATTCACAACACAGTGGATTCACATAGAATCCCTATGCAAACCAAGGTGGTTAGAGGGAAAGGTGGTGAAGCGGCCACCGGTGAACTCCACGCGGTGATAGCGTTCACCGCTCTGCCCTCACCTCATGCTACTAGATAGAGCTGAGGTGTTTTGAAACGAGCTGAACTTTTCTAGGAAATTGCGACATGACATGCAATCAGGGACTGGATTAGGTGAGGCCTTTTTCACTTTAAATGGAATACAGAGCAAATAATCTACAAAAAAAAAATAAAATAGAAATAAGGAATGCTCTCAAGAGGTCTTTAGGTGGCTTTAAAAAAAGCCATTTTAATTTAGTCCTAGAAGTACAGTTAACCATCCTCACTTACCTCCAGCACAGAGCCCGGCCTGTCACTCCCCACTGCCCAGCATCAGTGCTTTCTGATGGGGTAGATTTACAAAGAAGTCCCGCTGAATCCAAAGTCAGAGCTGCATCTGAATGAACCAAAGACAAATTTTTTCTGAGCTTTTGGGAATTTTCTAAAAGAGGATTCAAAAGTTGTAAATAGAGAACAATTTAGCAGCAGTCCTTGATCTTAAGTTTCACCTGTGCTTTTATTGTAAAATGATGACAGTGAGACCTTGATAGGAAATGACATGGGGTTACCGGGGTAATGGCAGGTCCAAAGCGAAAGGTCTGGGAGGCTGGTAATTCCAGCTCAGGAATGACATGTGATGTTATGTAATAACTTTATCTCAGGAACGAGCACACTAATGTCTGCTGGGATGGTAATGTCATTGGTCATAATAAAAAATTATTCTATCTTAAAAACCAAAGCAGCACAAATGGCAATTTTACTTGGACAAATTAAGTATAACTGAAAAAGTAGGCTAGATAATTTTGATTCAATTCTGAGCTTAATGTAGTGATAGTTGACCTCTGGCTGACCTAAAAAGTCTTTAATATCTCTAAAACAACAGTAACAGATTTGTACAAATGATTAAAGGGGAACACTGTTTTTTTTACATTGGGCCCTTGATTTTACGTTATTACGTTATCACATCATGTTCTACTCATCCATATGAGTTTTGTGTCATTTGGAGCTGTTCTGAAGATATTCGGTTAGGTTATAACCAAATAACATCTTCCCATGGGCAAGTGACTTGAAGGCACAAACTAAATTGATCATAATTTATTATTTATGGTATGCCAAGATTCATAACATGTAGGCGTCTCACTGTCCCCCAGACATCCGCGGTTATATTTTTTATATTTATATCTTTTAAAAACAAAGCGGAGTGTGTATGACGTCATCATATATATGACGTGCTATATATGACGTGCGCTGGACTGGGGTTGTGACAGGCAGCCCGGGCCACAGGCAGCTACGCTCTAACCCTTCTATTCATTCGGCTAGCTAATCTGAATCGTGTAATTCCATTTTGAGAGCAGGATCATCTGTGGTAGTAGTACCAGACATCTTCCAGGCATGTGAGTAAAACTAGCAGCAGTTCAGCGGACAGGTTGAATGGTAGCCGGCGCGAATATGGGTGAGTAGAACATGATGTAATAACGTAAAATCAAGGGCCCAATGTAAAAAAAAAAAAAGGTGTTCCCCTTTAAGTGCACAAACCTGCACTAAAGAAACACTAACCATTCAATCTATTTGCTAAGGGTTTTTTCACATCACTAGGGTTTCAGCTTGATGCAGCTGAAACTACTCCTATTGTGGTCCAGGGTGTAAACATAGTGCATCTGAAATGCAAAGCATGGAATGCTCAATCACCGCTTCCACCATGTGCGTTCTCAAAGCACTATTAGAAGGACAAAAAAATTAAACATATTTATTGACACTCCTAATCAACAAAATTATACTTTAAAAAAATCTATGAAGTGGAATCAACTCTTCAAAAATATTAGGATTTTTAGTAAGCAAGGCAACTTATCATAGTAATGCAAAACACTCCATGCATTAAACCTGTTTCAACACATTCAACTAGTAAACAAGCAATCCTTTTATGTTTGTAGTTAACTACTTTGCAGAAGTTAATATCAATTCTTGTTGCTCTGTAAAGAAATGACCCATCCTTTGGAAATAAAAAAGCATATTTATAGTTATTTAGCCAATAATGTATAGTAGTTTATTGTTACTGAAAAGCAAATGATGGAGGACTTGGAACTGGAAACCTACTGAATTGCTAATTTATCTATTTGTATTTTCTAAATCAAACTAGTTGTAAAGCAACATTAAAAACTAAGCATTATGGGATTTTATTAGTGCATAACAATGTACTTTTGTGTCATTAATGGGTTATTTGCATTTCAGTTCAATCAGAGAAAACTTGTTTGTGAAGAGAACCCATATGTTAACTGCACACCCAGAGAGATGTAAACAATTTACCAGAACATGAACTAGTAGATGACATGCCGCGATGAAACTGACGGCCAGCAGCTGAGTTTAATGGCCTTCATACAAGACACTGCATGATGTCGATGACAGATTGAAAATGTTAAAGATGCTTCATTTGATCCCTGCTTCTCGGTGCCAAGAAGTAATGAACGCTAAGACATTAACAGCTCCCTTTGCGCTTTTCTTCATCTTTCTCTGTGTTATCCTGATCTTGTCTCATCCTACACCATTTTTTTCCCTACCAAGCAAATATATATGCACACAGGCCTTTTTATCATTGCGTAAATGAAATCAAAGAATAAGGTTGGATGTGGTGTCACCACAGAGCCTCAGATGTTGCCATAGAGCTAGAAAAGGACACTAATGTGGGTTTCGATATTCAGTTCACTTTTATCTTTCAGCTTGTCTTCTTTAATTTGTGGTGTATTTTTATTGCTAGATGCCATGCTGTTTGTTTTTGCATCTGTTGTTTTTCATTCTTTCAAGACCAACTAGCAAAGACCCAAGCTTTCATACTGTAAGAAAAAAAAAATTACATATAATATTTTGTTTCTGCATTTTATAGTCACCTAGTTTTCCCTTGACCTGATAACAAATATGATTTCCTTTTCACAAAGCAGGTTTAATGAAAGGTGTGTATGTTAGTAAGTTTCTAACTATGAAATAAGGGAAACGAAGAGTTTTCTGGTTCACGAAGAGAGGTTACTGAACCTCTGCATGTGTTGAATTCTATTTTATTTAAAATAAAAATTCTGGATGTCTAGAAATGAATTTCAGATCTCTACGTTTCAGGTGGTAATAGTCATAGTGTTTGTCATTTTGACTATGAAGAGATGTATTTCAGATAAATAAAATGCATATATATTCAAGCTGATAAATGGAAAAATGGAAATGGATAAAATCAGAATGGACAAAGATAAGTACCTGCAGAGAGTTTTGCATTTACTGCAACTCACGTAATCTCACTATACATAAGACAATTTCATCCTTCCCTCTCTCATGACAAGGCGCGCACGAGTCCTATCATGAAAAAAAGTTTAATAGTGCGACCTGAGTAACGTGCAGTAATGGGGTGTCGGCAATGGTAACTGCGTTATAGTTACAGTAAGAGTAATAATTTTGATAACTCGTTACTAAAAAAAAGGTAACGGCGTTGGGAATAAATGATTGTATGTCCTGTTTCTCTGTATGCTGTGCTGTCAGGGACTGGCAACGTGTCCAGAGTGTAATCCTCCATCTGGCTAATGACTGTTAAAGATATAGACCCCTGTCCTCACAACTCTGCATGACCAAATTGGTACAGAGCACAAATCTTTTTGCTATTATTAGCATTTATCTCATCCTATGAAATATTCAAGTTAAATGAAAACAAAAATGCAAAATAATAAAAGATAAAATGAGCGAAATAATTCTTAACTGTGGTACATATAGGATAGCTGTGTGGTCTTTCATTGACTAGGCCTCATTCCGGTTTACACACAAACTCATATACAGCAGTCTCTTGATTGTGTTGGACAAGATCTGAAGTCAAGTATGAATACAGAGGATGACAGGCCAATTATCAGATGCGCTCTCTGTTGTGCATCTTCTCCTCCAACAGGAAGCAGATGTGAGAATCCTGTCACTTTCACTAAAGCTGATGCAGTGACAGGGACCGACAAGAAAAGGTACAGTTTTCAAGAAGAATTGAGGCGGACAGCGTTATAAAGCCAGTATCCTCAATGAGTTTATCTTGTCACTTTTAAAACTTTGGACGATCTACTGTTAAAAGCGTGAAGATATTTGTCATAATATAAAACATAATGGATCTTTTTCGTCTTGGGTCTATAAATGTCTTAGATCAGTGTCCAATTTGATAATTTCTCCATTTTGTTTACAGCTTGTACCCTACAATCATTGAGTAAGTTCTAACAAAGAGCTTGTGTTTGCTTTGCAGGTGAACATAGTGCCAGCTTGCGTCAGAGCCTTGACACAGATGCTGTACTGTCCGTACTGCCGTGGCATGCCTGGGCTAAAGCCTTGTCACAATTACTGTTACAACGTTATGAGGGGCTGTCTCGCAAACCAGGCAGATCTGGATACTGAATGGAACCTGTTCATTGGTGAGTTTACACTTTATTGCATTTCTGCCTTTGTTTGTTTCTTTATATTAAATTCATCTGTGTTTTTATTTGCTAACCTGGGTTTTTTTATTTTATTGTGCCTGTTTCTATGTCTGTGTATGGCAGTCATGGAAGGAAACTATGTGATGCACTCAGCTGAATTCAGCTTTAGAGGATTTGCAGAGACAAAACTAAAATCTTATTTGTGCAAACATTTCCTTTCTTTTTTTCTGTCTCAAATGTTTGCTCTTGCTGGAACCCTGGCATGGTGTTTAAAGCTGTGTTCCCTGCTGTTTGGGATTGATAAAGGAGAGCAGATCCTAGGCAAACATATTTTCTATAGTGTTTCCAGCTGAGCTTGGTGAGTAATATAGCACTTCACTTCAACTGTAAGTAGCTGGCTGCTGTAAGCCCTTCAGTTAAATGGATACCAGGGATGCACATAGAGTGCTCCCTCTGGATCCTTTGTAGACCAGTGCTTTATTTGTTATGTACCCCAATCTCCACCTCCCTCCTCCCCAATCTCCTCCTTTTTTTTTTGTTTTGTTTTTTTTTTAAATGGGGCAACATTTTTTACCACACATCCCTGAAGACCGTCAAGTGAAGTGCACTTCAGAGCTTTTGGCTGTTTTGTGACAAGGCCTGTCATTTGAAAAGTCATCAGATGACTTACCGTTTGTTCTCCTCCATGGCAAGTCTGAAGTCTCAGATCAACACGGGTCCTTGTGCACTGAATGAGATGTCTCACAGCTTTATGACATGTGTTAAAAAGTTAGTGTCTTGTTTGGTGTTGAAGAAGCAAATCTATTGCAACAAAGGGAGGATGTGCCTGACAGTAATGGCATAAGCTGCTTCTGCAACTGAATGAAAAAAAATCGTGTTACCAAAATGCCCTTGAGATATACAAAGTGTTTTTCTTTGTTTCAGTAGTTTAGATAAGGTTTTTTGGCCAATTAAAGGAAATCAGGCTTTCCGAATTATCGCAGTTAAAAGTGTAAATCATTAACTTTAACCTTTAAGAACTACATTTTGGTGTCAGTTGAAATTTTCAATTCATTATCAGGTGCTAAAGAATTAGTTATGCTTACAACATGGCTCGAAAGGATTATTGATTTCCCTTTCACAGACAACATTTTACAGGTCAGTCCTCTCCCAAGAAGCACATCTCTGCATTATTGAATTGAATTTTATGGAATGAGCTTGTTCACTTTCTGTCATGGTCGTCTCTTAAATTGTCACATATCAAAGAGGATTTCATAAGGAACAAAAATGTAACATTTTTAGGACCTTATGTTATTTAAAGGACTTTAATGTCAGTGTTGATAACAGTGAGACCTGTTATTCTGCCATCATTTTCATTTTTTCATTTCATTTAATTTATTTTGAAACATGATATGATTTAACAATGTTTACATTGAATGCTGCATAAACATGCATCATATTTCAAAAAGGAGTAGGATGAAGCATAAGCTTATTAGGCCCTACCCCTCAGTTACATGTGTCATGGTGTTAAAGGACAATTATTTACAGTAAGACAAACAGTATACCAACTTTTTATATATTACTCTTTTTTGTATTCATCAAAAATACTTTTCTTATATTCTTTTTTGAATTGCTGGATGCATTTACATTGTTTAATGTATTCAGACAAGCTGTTCCAGAGCTTCACTCCGCTAATTGATAAACTAAAGCTTCTTTTTGTTGTTGGAACATACTTAGTTTTGAAATTTAATTTTCCTCTTAGATTATATTTTCCATCTCTATTTCTAAAATTGATCAGATCTAAAAATTTGAGAATTCTTCAATCAAGAAATAAACAGCGAGTGTGATCTCTATAATGTTTGTTATCCGTTACTTGTATTGCTTTCTTTTGCATAATGATCTGTGGTTGAATGTTTGTTTTGTTAGTGTGACCCCACACTTGTTAGTGTGACCACAAACTTCAACACAATAGATAGAATAGGGCTGAAACAATGAGCAGCATAATGTGTGTACAGCTTGTTTGGTTAGAAGTTGGTTGTTTGGTTTATTTATAACAGCCAAAAGTGATTTCCTCTGATTTCAGAGGAAATCAGATTTTCAGATGCTGGGGAAAAACTCTATAACACGCACTCATTCAAGAAGTGGTGTTGAATATACCCCTGCAACCCCTGCAGGTTAGTTAGTTCATTGTTGTTTTATTATATTCTGGTTTCTGTTATTATTTTTCCAGGCTCAATGTTATGCACCTTTGCAACATCTGTAAACTAAAAAAAAAAAATATCTAACAGCTTGCTTAATTTATTGAATTAAATTAAAGTTCAACTCAAATTTATAAGATCAGTTAAAATTGTTTCAGTTTACACTGCAAAAAGTGTTGCAATATACCCCTGAAGGATCTTGCAACACTTTTGAGGGATCCTTTTTAGAGAGATTCTTATTTACTTTCGCAAGATAAAAGAGACGTTTGAGACTACAAAAAAAAACACCTCAGCAAAACATCAATCTGGAACTTGACAGAACAAACATTTGTTTGTGTATAACTGCTGACAAGTCAGCCTTACTTTCAATAACGGCGGTCACGCTGGTCCATCTAGGAGTTTTAAGGTTGTGCGAATACAGTTATTTAGCAGCAGTATTTAAACATTTCCAAGCAAAGCATTTACTAGAAACAAACCCCTGTGTTTATCAACAAACTTCATAGTTTATTATATATAGCAAAGACATTATTGGTATAGAGGTCACCAACCAATCTGATACCTTTCCTGACCCAAGTGTGTAATGTATCACCTGCTATAAATATTGGGAATTAAAGTCTGTCTTTATGTGGTGTCTACTTACTTTTAGTATGGATCCTACCCAATGCTGTATAAATGAAACCCTAGAAAGACACCTTGGAGGACAGGTTCAGAGTCCCGTGCGTCAACCAGCTCAAACAGAAATGCACCTGGGAGGCAAAATCCAGCAGGACTCTTAACAGAGGTTCAGGCGAGCAGACCAGACAGAGCCAGTGAATGAGAGGGAATTGAATCAGGAAAACAGAATCAGTTGGGAAATGCTGAAACGCTCTCATAGGGAAAGGGAAATAGCTTGCCTGAAGACATAGGTTAAAAAATAAACTCCTCACTTGAGCACGAACCATCGAAATAAACCTAAAACTAACCAAACTGACGAACAGGACAGTAACAGAAATCAAACAGGGAACAAACAGAAAGCAAACAATGATCTGGCCAAGATAGCTGGAACTGAGCCCAATATAAGGGCAACGGCAGGTGGATGAGATGGGAGATGATTAAGAACTGAGCAGCACTAGGCAGGTGAGTAAAATGAGAAATTAAGGCCAGCTATCGGAGCAGATCATGACACTTATAACTTATTTTAATCTGCAAGCTTCTAGAAGGTCAGACATAATATTCGGTCGGTTGATATGTATTGGACATAGTTGTAAAAAAATAAACAAACAGTATTTCTTTAAGGATTTATAGTGCTTAAATACTTTCTATCATTATTGGAACAAATCTTGCACAAGATGTAGTGTGTGCTGTATTGGGGGTAAAGTGCAGATTGTACACCCTCAAATCATATCTGAGTTTGTTATTGGTTGCAGGGAGACTAAAAAGATACTGAGGATGTAGCTTGCATTACCTAGCTGGACTTGCATGCAAAATGTATGTGTCAAGCAGTTTCTTAAAAGCCCATGAAACCAATAGGGATAAAAGTCCCGAGTTTGGAAAATCTGGACTTGTTTCAAGCTATTTTAGGAGCTCCCTGTTAAGCTGTCCCGACTTTCAGCTCCAAACTTAAAGAAAAATATAGTTCTATAATGAAACTACCACATGTGGCCAAAAAATATAACTGCAGCACCTTTCTGTTCATTCTTGTAGGTCGTGCTTTTACTTGATAAGGTTTTTTTTTCATCCTCCCTGGAATTTTCATTGGTGACTGTGTTGAGCTCAAGAGCGTAGGTTTGATTTGAACTTTGGTAGGGACACTATTGGTCGGGTGTCATTGGTGCTATGCAATATGCATGCCCTTTTTTATGCTCGATGTGAGCATCCTTACTGATGAGAGGAATTCATTGTTAAAAGAGAAAAGCAACATTTTGCTCCATTAATAAAAATATAATAAGCACCTAATAAACAGGAAAATAGGCTACAGGCTTATAGATGTATCAGAGCTGAACTACTGAGGTGTCAGTCAGCTCATCAAATGATGTTTCAGTTGTAAAGGGTCAAATAATAAGGCTATTTTAAATTTATTTTTCAGTAAAAAAATATGTAATATCTCTTTAAGGTTTCTCTTTAGTGAGAAAACATTATTGTAGCAGCCCAGTGGGCTTTTGGAAGGAATAAATCTGGACTTACTGAAAATATGAACCAACACGTCTTTATGGGTCATGGGGGGGTTGGATTGTTTGTAATTCACCTAAACATTATCTCACTCTAAAGCAAAAGAGCAGTCAGCTATATGTGCAAGAGCAAGCCCCTAACACCCCAAAATAAAAACTGTTTTAAGGTTCTAAAGTGCAACCAAATTAGTACCACAACCTTATCGTTGCCAGAACTAACAATGGTTTAACAAATAAAATCTTAAGGCGCACCAGTGTGACCAGCTAGCGAAAATACATTTTTTTAAGTCTATGTGACTCTGAATGTCTACCCATTGTTCAAATACACAACACAAAAAAAGAACAAAATAAAAAAAATGCAAAAAATAAGAAACAAAGAGCACATTTAAAAACCCTACTAGGGTTGAAGAAGAGAGAGTGGGCCATTGTACATTGAGCCAGCCGATCTTACTCTGGTGTGTATGCAGTGTCATTGTCCTGGATCAGACCAATAACAATGGTGGCTGCGTCTCTGAAACAGGGAAGCTCACTGGTGTTAATTAAATCCAAACATCACCTTTTGAATAAACAAATATTGAAACACATAAAACACATTACTATAACGGGTGAAAAGAGCTGTTCTGAAATAATAAACTCCAGAAACCACAGCAAGCGTTCAGCACAAGATGACTGA